ATGAAGTTGGTCAATCTGGGTGATCTTGGTGTCGATATGTATGTTTTCAAGCATGCTCAGATGATTTTTTATAGTTTTAAGTCCATTGTAACATTTTTATCCACATAAAATAACACTTTTAGTAAAAAATATAACAAAAAGGAACTTACTAAAAAAAAAGTAAGGTAAACAGTGGGAACACAGTCCCACCACCGCGACGAGGTAACACTCCCACCACCGATCGTCTCGTGTGAAGCAAGCATATAAATTAAAGAAAATACTTGCAGTGTGTTTAATATGTTACAGTGTATTATAAATAAATAAATAAACAAATAAATCGGTAAATCCATTTCAAGTAAATGGAAAAATTTTACTCGACACCGACATTAGTTCCAGTTACCGGTAAATAGTAGACGCTTCAGTGATGTCACTAGTGTTTACACTACACCAGCGGGTAACATTTGATGACATTACTTGAAGTGAATTGGCCTTATTTTAAAAAACCAAGGATGGTTGGTAGAGGACTACTGAGTCAGTGGGTAAGTGTCACATTTGGGGTACTGGTCTTATACAGCGAATAGAGCTCAAAAACTACTTTTTAAATGGAAATTTGGGGGGCCGTCTTATGCACCCCGCTGCATTTTAGGCCGAGATATACGGTAAGCAAAAAACAAAAACTCAATCTAAAGGACATAAATTAACAATTAAATACTTCACACCACAGGTGCCAACTGTCAAACATGTCACTGTCACCCCTCCCTCCCTCACTCCCTACCCCCCCCCTCTCCTCCCAGCGAAGGTTTCTGGTTATACAATAGGCTTTAATCTTATATAATATCTCAGACTAAAGTTAGAAGAATATAATTTGCATTGCTGGAATGCTTGCAAGACAGCGAATAATTTGAATATAAACGTCATATATTTTGCACAAAAGATAAAATTTTTGATGTCTCTAATAAAATTTTTAAATTAGATCTAAAATTTGTATGTCTAATGCAAATTTTAGCTTGTTTATATTCAAATTAATCATTATCTTATAAGAATTCCAGCAATGTAAATTATATTCTGCCCGGTCATTTCTATGGAATTTTATGAACAAAATACAAAAACTCAATAAATTTAATACTTCACCAGATGGCTCACTGTCCACCTCCCCCTCCTCCTCCTCCTCCTCCTCCTCCTCCTCCTCCTCCTCCCTCCCACCCTCCACCCCTCCCCTCCCTCCCTCCCCCTCCCTCCCCACCCCACCTGCCTCAAACAAGGATTTGGGGTTTTTCTATAGGCTTACAGTGTTTATCTTATATAATATCACGGACTAAGGTTAGGAGAATATAATTTGCATTGCTGGAATCCTTGCAAGACGGCGAATAATTTGAATATAAACGACATATATTTTGCCTATAGATGAAATTTAATCTCCTGTATCACATTACAGTAGTGATTTAAGAGTAAGAGTGTATATGTACTTATATATATAGTGATATAAGGGCGATATAGGAGTGCTTCTGACTTTACACGAGGTGCCAGGAACATAACCCTCGCGTAACTTGCGAGTGTACTGTATACAGTGGTCCCTCGGTTAACGAACGGTTCGATTAACGAAATTTCGGTTAACGTATTAGCTCCCATAAGGATTTTCAGTTTGATTAACAAACAAAACTTCAGTTAACGACAAACACGTTTTGTTGTGCGCATCAGCTGATTGGCTAGTCCACCAATACAGTAATTGGTTCTATGTTTACATTCATTTCCAGTTCAATAAATATCAAGAAAGTTGGTCTCTTGAATATTTCTGCATTTTTTATATTAAAATTATTGGTCATTCTGAAATTTAGTTAACATATTGATAATACAGTATAGACCAGGGGTTCTCAACCAGGGGAGGAATTTTCCCCCTCAGGTTTTCAGGGGGGGGGGGAAACTGATACTAATATGGAAAAAATAAAGGATTTTCAGTATTATATGCATATTATTTGGAATGCACTTTTTGAGGCAGACAATCTTGGAAAGGAGGGGGGAATGACATTCTGACATATGGTGAAAGGGGTGCATGGGGCAAACAAGGTTGAGAACCACTGGTATAGACAGTACAAGGAACACTTTTTATGTGCCCATCACCTGATTGAATCACCCAACAACGCTTCTCAGTTTAACTTTGTTTACGGTGGAGTGAACATCGATTTTGTTGTTCTCTTGAATATTTTAGCATTTTTACATTAAAATTATTGGTCAATCTGAAATTTAGTTAACATATTGATAATATACAGTGCTTAAATTATTATGAAACATGAAGAAGGCATTAGAACCAATGCACTCTGTAAAGAATATGGCATGTCATCATCGACTGCCTCTACAATCAGCTGTTTGATATGTAAACAAAGCTGCCGGGAATACTACAAACACACCTCAAAGTAAGTTAAAATACAGTATTCTATTGTTTTTAATTTATTATTGTGCAGTACAGTGGTCCCTCGGTTAACGAACACAATTCGTTCCAGAAGGTCGTTCGTTAACCGAAACCATTGTTTCAATGGGATTTTGGGTAATTGGTTCCAGCTCACCGAAAATTACATACAAACTGAAAATAAATGCAGTAAAGTACACTTACTTTGAGGTGTGCATGTAGAAGGCTCCTGGTTGATGATGATGATGATGATGATGGGAATTAGAAAGGGGGTGGAGGAGAAGGGAGAAGAGAAGGCATTGGGGTGGAAGAGAAGTCACCCCATGCCACCATTTCACCCATAAAATTTTAGTTCACTTGGTGTAATTCAAGATTATTTTCTTTAAATCAACACTGCACTGCATTATATATTGTCAAATTATAAAATAAACTTCAGAATGACCAATAATTGTACTGTAAAAACATAAAAATAGTTTGTTCAATAGAGTCTCAAGCATGAAGCTTCCTCCACTGAGCAGGGACACACACTGACTAGTTCCCTGTACTTCAATTATGTTAAATAATTTTTAAAATGACTAAAAACTTTAATATAAGACTTGGAAAATTATTGAATAGTACAACGTTCTTGATATTTACTCAAATGGTAGCGAATTTAAGCCCTAAAACTGATTACTGTATTGGCAGACTAATACTACAGCTGGTGAGCAGGCGAAAACATGTTGGGAAAAATTCGTAAGGAATTCGTTAACCGAAATTTTTTGGTTAACCAAAGTGAAAAATCTTAAGGAAGGTAATTCATTGACTGAAATTTCGTTAACCGAGGGATCACTGTGTACTGTACAGTACAATTCTGTATTTAGTTTATATTTAATGTTTTGTTAATTCCATTACTGGTATACAATACTTTGTATGTAATTTTTCTGTGAGTTGGAACCAATTACCCAATATCCCAATGAAATAATAGATTCGGTTAACGAACGTCTCTGTGGAACGAATTGTGTTCGTTAACTGAGGGACCACTGTATTGGAAAATTTTGATAATTTTGGTAGTACTGTACAGTATAGTCTCAGTTTACATGGTTAATTAAACCCGTGGAGGCCCGTGTAAAACGAGAAACGCTTAAACGAAATAACAGAACATATGGGATTAATTGAAATAGAGACTGGGCCGACCCCCAGAGTACCCTTTTTCCTACACAATACATATGTTGTAGTAAAAATAACATCTTAATTTTATGATGGTATGCACACGCAATTAATATATAAGAGAAACATCAATAATATTAGGTTTTTTAACATTTACGTTAGTAGAAGAGATGGCTGGGCACACGGGGATGGGGGGCTGGTTCCGAGGCAGAGGGCAGATTATTGGCCATCACTTGTATCACCTGTATCACTATCCACCACAGAGGCTTGCAGGGCCTCTTTGTCAAACCCCTCAAAGTCCATATCCTCACTATCACTGACTTGGGCTGGTTGTGGTGGATGGCGGGTGAAGAACTCGGTAATGTTTTGTTGACTGGGCGACCTAGTGCGCACCCTGCCCGCACCGCTTCCCGCGTAAATGATGGAATGTACCGCGTAACTAATAATTGCTGGCCTGACCAGGTGCCGCGTAAATGACCAATCGCGTAAAGGAAATCCGCGTAAATTGAGACTATACTGTAGTAGTAAATTTGAAATATTTCCTGCATGATTTCCATCGCGAAATAAAAAAAAAATTTGGCTATACAGCTCCTCCCCGACTTACAACCGGGTTAGGGACCCAAATCCAGGGCGTAAGTCAAGATGGTCATAAGTCGAAAACGCTTAAATAATACATAGAAAATCTAAAATGGGTGTCTCTTTTTTTCTTCTCAGCACCACAAAACTCTCACTTTTAAGCCTGCCAGCCATTTTAAAGTGAATTACAAACGGAAATTTTGTCAGTACACAGCACAATCACTGACTTTGGCACTCGCAAATATGTAATTTGAAAAAATTTTGGTACGACCGAAACAGATCGTAAGTGCGGGTGACCGTAAATCGAGTAGGTCATAAAGTGGGGAGGAGCTGTGTTTAGGAAAATGTAGAAAATTTTGGTGGCTGCAATATAAAAATATCGTTATATAAAGTCGATAAACATTATATCCCGACTCTACTGTATGTTAAATTGAGTCCCTTGTAAACTGATCTACTGAAAGCTCTCTCTTTGGGAACACATCCTGAGCTTTCAAGGAGTATTACTGTACATGTTGGAATGTATATACCCCTTATTACATAAATTCTTGTAGGGGAAAGCTCCCCATTATAAAACATTTCAATATTAGTTACATTTCTCTGGAACACATTCCCTCGTGATCATATACAAGGAGGATATATTGTTGAGTCCACAGAGGTTTCATTATAACCCAGCCTACAACAAATTTGATTGTGTTATTTGCAGTTTGCACTGTGTATTATGGCCAGTGATTTTATGAAACCCTTTTGGAAGCCTAAAACCTGAGTGTAAAAATTAAAAACAAAAAAAATTATTCACAGCTTCAGACTTCTCTTTGTCTTCATCATCCTTCATGAAAATATCTCCTATTAAAATGTCATATTTCCTGAAATTTGTTACCCCTTTGTCATGCTGCAGGGAAGGGTGGTGTTGGGAGACAGAATCTGGTAGAAGCTGTAGCACACTTTGCTGGCAGGTTTACCACCACATTCACCCTCTCTGCCCTCACCCCATCCTCCACTCTAACTTCACTGCTGGCAGGTTAGTATTAATGACAATTTATATTTGTTAGAAGAAGAAGGAGTTGAAGCATATGAATGGCTATGTAGGGGTTTGATATCAATAAGAATGGAAATATTTTTCATATTGTACTGTAGCCTTCATTTTGCCCTGCTTTGCTTAGGTTAACAAAATCTGCTTTGATCATGTGATTGAGGATATATTTTCTATATACTCTTGTACAATAGCTAAAACAGCGATCTGTACAGGTTGGGGGTTGATAAGCTCCGAAATTTTACGTGTGACTAGTGACTGCTCTCATATACCAATATTTATCATCCATGGTCTCATATTGTTTCCCACAAAGTATTCACTGATAGTTGTTTTAACTACTGTAAGTATAATACTTTTTTTTTTTTTTTTTATTTACTTGACAGGCTCATTGATTGGGGGGTCTTGGTTGTTCCTCCGTGACTGTACACGAGCCACTCCTATGATTTTGGCCACTCTTGCTGCTACTCTTCTTAATATTCACCATGCCCACACATTCACAAGTTCGTCTCCTGTCATACAGGTAAAATATTATTTAATTATACCTCAAATAGTGTGTTTATGATACTGATTTTTTATGAGGTTCATCTCCCCCCCCCCCCATTTAAGTCTTACCCGCTAGTGCTATCTTGAGTAACATTAAATCCTAAATTTAATTTATATATAAGTAACTAAATTTTCTACAATTACAAATCCCTTCCTGATACAATCTCATTGTGTTGATCAGTACTTAATTTAGCTTTTAAATATCATTCCCACTACTTATCAGCTCAATAGATGTTCAGTCAGTCAGTCTGTTCTTTTGTTACATTGCTACAACATCCATTGTCCAGTTGAACTTAAAGTTTAAAATTTTCAAGCTTATGCTACCACAATAGTCTACCTCTTTATTGATTGACTATTATTATTATTATTTGTTTATTTTTTTATTTTTTTATTTTTTAACAGATAGCTGGACAAGAAGTAAACCTTCATGCTGGTGCTGCTGTCCTCCTCTCTGTTACAACACCACAACCCACACTCAGGATACCACAAGGTTTTGGCTCCACAAGATCTCTTCCTTATTCCTTAGAGGCACTGAGTCGTCCTGTCTGGATATTGACTCCACCTGCTCACACCCTTGTGTTTTCCTGGCTTCATGCCAATGCTGTTCCCAAAGCACAGGTAAGTCTTGGAACAGATAGATGGATGACTCAATCTGCGCTTTGCATTTATTGATGAATAGTTTGTATTAGCTATAAATTGTATACTTATGTTATGTACTATGGGCTTTAGCATAACCCATGGCTCTAAAATCCCTCTTTTAATGGTTACTATGAGGGAGTAGGTTAATCTATGGTTAACCCTAACCACCTTATTTTTAGGTTAACTGGGCCAAGCTCATCCTACTGTAGTGATGCTACTATACTATATTTGACAATAGAAGGAGTTGCAACCTTGCTTTGCCAGCTGCTCCCACCCTGTGGATTGGTGTTAGGAAGGGGATCCAGCCATAAAACTTTTGCTTCAATATGCCTGATGGCAACTGGTGTCACCAGAGCTGTGCCCATCACTGATCATTACTACAGTAGAATGTCAATTTAAAGGGATTAAATTTAATATTATTGATTTAAAGCGATACCCACAATTAAGGACATTGTTTTAATTTAAAGCAAATCTTTCCTATTATGTGCGAGTCAATCTGGTGCATCATATTTTAAAATTCGCACCTAATGTTTCTCTGGGCACGCTACACTGTCCTAAGGGCAAAGCTTTACTGTACATGTACACCAAAATAATGTACTAAATGATTCCTAAGATTTTTGTCTAGTGCAAACTATAGCATGATTATATTCAAATTAATCACTACCTTATAAGAATTCCAGCAATGTAAATTATATTCTCCTCAGTCACTTCTGTGACATTTTATAAACAAAAAACAAAAACTCAATCTAAAGGACATAAATAAACAAATAAATACTTCACTAGTCTCTCTCTCTCTCTCTCTCTCTCTCTCTCTCTCTCTCTCTCTCTCTCTCTCTCTCTCTCTCTCTCTCTCTCTCTCTCTCTCTCTCTCTCTCTCTCTCTCTCTCTCTCTCTCTCTCTCTCTCTCTCTCTCTCTCTCTCTCTCTCTCTCTCTCTCTCTCTCTCTCTCTCTCTCTCTCTCTCTCTCTCTCTCTCTCTCTCTCTCTCTCTCTCTCTCTCTCTCTCTCTCTCTCTCTCTCTCTCTCTCTCTCTCTCTCTCTCTCTCTCTCTCTCTCTCTCTCTCTCTCTCTCTCTCTCTCTCTCTCTCTCTCTCTCTCTCTCTCTCTCTCTCTCTCTCTCTCTCTCTCTCTCTCTCTCTCTCTCTCTCTCTCTCTCTCTCTCTCTCTCTCTCTCTCTCTCTCTCTCTCTCTCTCTCTCTCTCTCTCTCTCTCTCTCTCTCTCTCTCTCTCTCTCTCTCTCTCTCTCTCTCTCTCTCTCTCTCTCTCTCTCTCTCTCTCTCTCTCTCTCTCTCTCTCTCTCTCTCTCTCTCTCTCTCTCTCTCTCTCTCTCTCTCTCTCTCTCTCTCTCTCTCTCTCTCTCTCTCTCTCTCTCTCTCTCTCTCTCTCTCTCTCTCTCTCTCTCTCTCTCTCTCTCTCTCTCTCTCTCTCTCTCTCTCTCTCTCTCTCTCTCTCTCTCTCTCTCTCTCTCTCTCTCTCTCTCTCTCTCTCTCTCTCTCTCTCTCTCTCTCTCTCTCTCTCTCTCTCTCTCTCTCTCTCTCTCTCTCTCTCTCTCTCTCTCTCTCTCTCTCTCTCTCTCTCTCTCTCTCTCTCTCTCTCTCTCTTTTTTGGAGTGGTTTTAGGCTTACAGTTTTTTATCTTATATAATATCACAGACTAAAGTTAGGAGAATATAATTTGCATTGCTAGAATCCTTGCAAGACAGCGAATAATTTGAATATAAACGTCTTATATTTTGCACAAGATTTTTTTTTTCAGCCCATTGTAATAATATTAATTAAAACTAAAATTTGTATGTCTAATGTGAACTATATCATGTATATATTCAAGATATTCACTATCTTATAAGAATTCCAGCAATGTTAATTATATTCTCCCAGGTCAGTTCAGTGACATTTATAAGAGAAAAACTTAGTCACTCCTAAGGACAGATAAAAAAATAATCACTAGACCTTGGCATCAACTGTCAAATGCATCACCTCACCTCCTCCCTCCCCCCCATCTTTCCAGCCAGTAAACAGACCATTTTGCATCCCTTAATTTTAGCTGTGTTGATTTATGACTGTTTCTTTTGACATAATACTACAAAAAACAATGTTTTGTTTATTCTAGGAGATGGGCTGAAGTGAATCTGGGTAAACTGTCAGTCTTTTTAGTATTTTGTGTTTCTCTCAAGTACCAAACTAAATTATTCCATTGAAACAACACTTCGATTAAGTGCGAATTCGGTTTAAAGCGACCTCTCTTGGAACGTATCTAGTGTTATATCGACGTTCTACTGTACAGTATCTGGATTGACATGTTTAGGTAGCATGTCAGTACCTGGGTTTCCAGTGGCGATCAGGAGGGGGCGAAGGGGGACATCCTGTTCTGGTTTTACCCATTAATTGCCAACAGGAAATTGTGGCTAACCCACTCAAGCATGCAATCGGCCATAAAATGTTGATGCCAGGTAGCATCTGATATAACTACCTCTAATCTTTGGTTTTAGTTCGCTAATATTAATGTGTAAATTATTTTGTATAATGCCATGTTAGATTATTAAATTGCAAATAAACCTCATAGCAATTTGCCCCACAGAGCCCTAAATCACCTCCGGATATTCAAATGGTGGGTTCCTGTATGAATTTAACCCTTAGGCCCCGAGTGACATTCCAGAACGTCCGACTAGTGTGCCCCGGGTGATGTTCCAGAACGTCCGCCTATTTTCCCGGCTTTTTTTTTTTTTTTTTTTAATAGTTTTGGAAATGTTGATTTAATATGCCGTGATTTCGTGCGAAGCCCGACATGGGGAGTGTTACCGCCACAGTAAGATAAACTAGAAGAAAGAGAAAGAGAGGGATAACCACAATAAGATAAACTAGGCGAGAGAGAGAGAAAGAGGGTGAGATAAGAGATATAGTGTTGACAACGAATTTGCTGACGAATTTGCTGAGGTGTTTCAATGCGAAACAGATGGCCCTCGCCTCCGGGCTGCAATTGCCCTCGAGGGTAGTCTACTGATTTCTACAGGACAGACAACACGTTGATTCAGACCACTAGACCCTAAAACGTGAGTGATCGTGAAGTATTAAAATCTGCTAAGAAACTCTAAATAACTTTAATAAGTATATTTATGTACTGTAATTTGATCATATTATACAAATTGTCTCCTGTATCAACAGTTATAACATGTGAGTTATATTTAAGATGTTAACAGGCTATGTACTGTATATTGATTGTATTATTCATATTATGTGTCCTGAGATACCAGCATTTGTTATATGAGAATTGGTCTTTGACAGGTTTTGACCGAATTATATGGTACGCGTCAATGTTGGGGGTTTATTTCTCCAGCAACAAACCAATAACGCTCCTATGAGCGTTAACAGTCAAAACGTTTTAGAGTATTGCCTGTATGTTGGCCTGGCGAATTAGCTAGGAATTAATATACCTAGGTAGCATTTGCTGACGTCGCATTCGAGCTATATCACAAAAAATGGTTTTTAGAAAAAAACGGCTTTTTTTCTCGATTTAACCCTGCGTGGGGGGTACTGCCAGCAGCACCCTAACCCGGGGCTTAAGGGTTAATGTAAAATAGGCTTGCTGTCGGGTGTGTCATGGATTTCTTGGAATAATTCGTATTTTTTTTTTTTTTTTTTATGGTCATTAACCCACTCAGGCACAGGTCATTTATAATGACCCACATCAAGGCCTTGGGGGCGACAGTATAATAAAACAACAATAATAATAATAATGATGATAATAATAATAATAATAATAATAATAATAATAATAATAATAATAATAATAATAAAATTAATAAAAATAAATAACAATTATAATAAAGTAAAATATTAATATTAATTCAAATTATAAATAATAATAGTAATGAGCCATAAATAAATTTAAAAAAAGGAAAAAATGTCAAGAGTGAGAAATACTGTATGTATATTGTGTTGTCAAAGTAAGAGAAACAATTGAGACCCTACAATTAAGTGTAAATGAGGCAGAAAGTCAGATCAGCCACCTGGGACTTGGTCACAATTTTCGTGATGCCATATGGCAGCAGGGTCTACCATTGGAAAACACATTATGCTTCCAATATCTTCCAGGCGGTAGTACCTCCCTGTTTGATAGCTGCCTACTACCTACTACCTACTTGTATATAATTATAATTAGTGCTGATGCTTTATTACTATTATAAATAATTAGTCACATGAGCGTAGGTAGCCATCGAATGATTTCACTCGGTTGGGATGATTTAACTCGCGTAAATAACTTTAATCTTGGTGAATTAGTTTATATAAATAAACTAATATATTAAATAGTATTATGTAACTATTAATTGTATGTATCTCTGAAGTTGTCGAAGTGAAGTATAAACTTAATTTGAGTGACAATGTGTCACAGTGACTTCATTTTCAGCGAGCTTTTCGGCAGAGAGCTGTTGCTCGAGTTGGAAAGCCAGAGTTCCTTACCCCACCATCAGGACAAGACATTCTAGAAGAAATCAACTCAGTTTTGCTATTTTAGTGAAATTCAATTGATCTGACTGAATTTCAAAGCAAAAGTGAATTTTACGTTGTTTAAAAAATTATGTTATTAGGTGACAGAATTGTGTAATAGAATTAGTTTAGGTATCCCTCTGAACTGTAAGAGAATAGGACATTAGCCCCCAAGCCCCAGGCTAGGGTGCTGCTGGTCGTGTCCCCCCAAACGGGAGTAAATTGAGGAAAATCAAATATTTTCCAAAAGTAATTTTTAACCTTTTTAAATGATAAAACAATAAAAAACAAGTAAGAAAAACTATATATTAACCCTCTAGAGTGTGTGATAGCAGTGATAGCACACAGAAGCAACCATGGTTGAAAGGCTACCAGACATTTTGCTACTCTAGACAAATGTAGCTCACCAAAAATCACTATGAGAATTATTCCCCCCAGATAGTACCAACCAACCCTACTGGCTCATGGCCTGTAAATAAAGGTAATCTAGGTATTGGTCTGTTTATTCAATCATATAATAATTATTTATGAACTCTCTACTTTGACAAATATCACAACTCGCTGGAAGCTACTGGGACATAATCATATCCCATTATCTTATTTTCAGGGAACTCTATAATATATTTTTTTATTTAAAGTATTTATGCAATGATACTTTCTTTATTTTTTAATTTAAGAAGTAAAACCATCATTCAGCTGAGTTTGTGTGAGTGTATGGAAGCAAAATTTGATTTTGTTAAGAAAGAAAATTAAGAAGAAAAGGTCCAGTTTTCTGAGATCACTTTTGAGGGAATATACTGTACCTGTACAGTGGAGAGTCTTGAATTGTTCCATGGTGGAGCCGCCACACCACTTGTTCTCAAAGACACCGTCCCCCCCTCTGCTATAACAATTTCCTCTCCTGAAAACATCATCAAGCTACTAGGCAACTTTAAAAGCATTATCTAAACCATTTTCAGATGAAATTTGTATCCTTATATAGTGAGACAGTGAATACTTGTGGGAAAGTAGAGTGGGTGAAGAATGGGAACAGCTTAGCGGGACCCCCTTATTTTTGACAGTGTACCACCATTACTATCTGGATTGTTCAGATCTTCATAGTTCTATTTAATAGAAGTGGTAATGTCTTCAGATGACGTGGCTCAGCCATTGTGGTATTTTGAGAATAATATTTCTCAGACTTTGAGATAAGGAATACAGCATAAGACACTAAATTTTTCACTCATAATCAATTCTCTTATATCAGGAAATAAGTGAAGCCATCGGTGAAGTTGTACGTCAAGTGTTGGGATCAATGTGTGATGAAACAAATCATGGGCTGCGACTTCAAGTGAAACTTGTGCAAGAAGTTATTAATGTTCTGGCAACAGCCCAGTACACGTGTACAGCAATGGAAGCTGCTGTGTTGGCATTCAAGTAAGCTTTTGACCAAACATCACTCCTCTGGTACCTCACATTCATTCATACTTATTGCTTATCTTTATTTAAAAGATTTGATAATTAATGGTTATAGCTGTATTGTATGGCCTTTAGTTCACACTTAAAGACATGGCTGTCAGGACATTTAATAACTATGGTAAGTCAAAATTAATAAAAGTTCATTGTATATATGTTACTTATTTTTCTTACCAGTAAGCCTCCTCTACCATGTCATCAGAACCTTTACATCATCCCACAAAGTTAGTATTGAGTAACCAGTTGACAAGCCCAGTTTAGCCCTTAAACAATAGGGAGCTTGGTATGTAGTCTATTTGCTGTGATGGTGAATGTTGAGAGTTTTAAAAAATGGGTAAAATTATAAAATTTAATTATGAAAAGGACAAGATTTGCTCTCTGAATTCAGTGGTGTAATCAGGTTTCCTATATACCTAACAAGAGCCACAAATAATGGGAGGGAAAATACTGTGTATGTGACCAGGTGGGAAATAGGGGGGATCAGGGCATTGCTGCACATTCCAGCTTTGGGCTTGTTGTTTTTATTGATTAATCATTATATTTCTGTAAAATCAGCTTTTTACGGTGTATGATTCATCTTAGATAATATAATTTCTTTAATATTCAATTTGTAATTTAACCAGAAAATGAAAGGATAAGCTGTATTGAAGATGAGAAAATACATATACCGTATTGGATCATGAAATTTTATCACAGATCATAGTACACCTGGGTTTGTTTCATTCTCTTTTGTTAAAAATCGTGAACAGTTAGTGTAGGGCGGGCGGGTCGTGTTGCGTCTCTGTAACAAAGCGTGTTCGGCATTCGGGCCTTCGATGTAGAGCGGCAGAAATTGGACAGTGATTACATAAGATCGTCAAGATCGTCTTCGTGATGTGAAAGTGTAAATCGATGTAGGACTTTTAATGCTAGACGCGATTGTATTTTTGAAAACTCAATTTCCACCGAGTTGGAGGTACAGCCAGGGTCACAGGCCTATAACCACACAATCACTGCCACATGACAAAGCTTTTATTTTATTTTATTTTTTAGGGTGTTGTGGTCACGGCTGTGATAAAGGCCAACCAGGGAGTGTAGTACTGTGCCTTCAGTTAAATCAGTTCATAGTTGTCATCAGTGAATGCAGAAGAGACTATAAATAACTTAAAGTGAATACATATTGGCAATCAAGCTGGTAAGGACAACTGCCAGCCTATTCGTGTCATAGGTGCCACAGAGACTTTAAATTTTATTTTGTTTGTGTGCTTTCTCAAGGACTGAAACTGTGTTTATAATACACCACTCACAGGGAGATACAGTGTACACAGTGATAGTTCATAGTGTCATCAGTGACCGCTGAAGTTGTAAATAACTTAAAGTGAGCGCTCACTAGCAAGCAAGCTGGAAAGGCACCGTGCCAGCTGAAACCAAGTCGTGTCATAGGTGCCACAGAGACTTTAAATTTTATTTTGTTTGTGTGCTTTCTCAAGGACTGAAACTGTGCCTACAATACACCATTCACAGGGAGATACAGTGTACGCAGTCGCAGACGACAACTCTATAGGCAACAGAGAGTAGCTAAGTACTTTTTCTCTCTTTATTTTTTTAAATAGGTGTAGATCTATACACAGTCTGCACCCCCCCCCCCCCCCACAACAACAACAACCATGAGTTTGATATGTGATTACTGCAGGGAGACGTCGGATATGGAGGATACAGGCCTGACTAATGCAACGTTTAGGAAGTTACTAACTGCCGTAAAGCATGATGGCTGTTGCTGGTATTGCTCTGGCTGCATAGTCAAGGTGAATGAAGCGATTGCAAGCCATAAGGGAACGAGTTCTCTAGGGACGAAAATAGATGAAGCTGGAGCCCTGCTGGTTGACAAACTGGAGCAAGTTGGGAAAGAGATCCTTGCCAAGACTGAGGAAGTAGCTGATAGAATGGAGGTGGTTGCTAAGAGGAGTTATGCTGACGTATTAGGAGGGCCACGGGAGGGGGCGGAGAGTAATGCAGGATCAGAACAGGTTCTACAACAGCTTGGGACTCTGAAGAAGTGTGTCGAAGAAATGAAAATTAACGGACCTACTGTTAGGGGAGAGGAGGAACACCAGGAACGGCTCCAGCGCAGGAACAATGTAATAGTTTTTGGAGTCCCAGAGAGCCAGGCGGAGGGAACTGTGAGTAAGGAAACACACGATAAGGTGCTGTTTCAAAATATTTGCACAGAGGTTCTGAAGATTCCATCAACCCCTCAGGATGTGAGGAGGCTGGGACAAAAGCAGGGGGCTAAGCCTCGCCCCCTCAGGATCACACTAGTGAGTGAGGAGGAGAAATGGCAGGTTATTCGGCAGGCAAAAAACTTAGCAAGGAGCGAGGCATTTCGGGATGTATTCATTCACCCAGACCGCACGGTAATGCAGAGGGAACAGCACAAGAAGCTCCTGCAGGACTTGAAGCAGAAGAGGGAGGAGTCGAGGAGGAACGGGGACAGGTGTACATGGGTTATACTCAGGGGGAGGGTAGTGGAAACAAGTGTGCCGACACAGGGCCAGGGGGCAGCAGTGCACCCTCCACCCGGGAGGCGGCACCAGCTCAGCCTACCGGACAGGAGGGAACGAGCGCCGTGTAAACAATGACATTTCTAACCACACCCTGCAAAATACAGTGTACTTAGCAAATGCTGCAGCTTCTGAGAATGTGGGGGAGCGGGTTTATTACTAAGAGCAGAGACGTTACCGAGAACAAATTCTGGCTTGAATGTCATGTACACTAATACTGACACGTTCCTTGATAAGAGAGAGGAGTTTGAAACACTACTAAGAGTACACCAACCAGATATTGTAGGAGTTGTAGAACTGTTGTACAAGAACAGGAGAATCGACCCAGAGGAATGTGAGTTCAGTATTGCTGGATATGACTCATTTACGAACCTTTCTCAAGAAACTTGCAAGAGGGGTGTGGTTATCTATGCTAGGCAAGACCTTAGAGCCAGCCAGGCGAGGGTACAGGGAGAGTATGTTTTTGAAGAGTCCAAGTGGTGTAAAATTAAATTAAAGGGAAGGGACTTACTTATCGTCGGGTGTATCTACAGATCCCCAAACTGTGGCCCACTAAATCAAAGGAACTTAAGAACCTTAATAAACAACGTGGCGATGCTCAACCCTAGCCACCTCCTTATCATGGGGGACTTTAACTATGGCGACATCGACTGGAGAAACAAGTCCACCCCGAATGACTTGAATAACCCTGCTACTCTTTTCGTAGAAACTCTGAGAGATAATTTTCTGTTCCAACATGTTAGAGACCTGACACATTACAGAGGGGAGCAAACATCCAAGCCACTTGACCTCATCATAACAAACGAGGAGGGTATGGTGGCCAAACTGGAACACCTTGCCCCAGTTGGCACCAGTCACCATACAGTGTTGTCATTCAGATTTAACTGTTACCTAGTTCAAGATAAGGCCAGGCCAAGGTGCAAATATTACAAGGGAAATTACAATGGGATGAGGGAAGAGATGAGGGGTATTAACTGGCCTGACTTATTAAGGTACAAGAATGCAGACACTACGCTGAATATCATAACTGGTAAAATGACCCATTTGATTGATAAATATATACCCAAGACCAAACCCAGTGCTTCTAGGAATACGAGGGGATCACTACACATGAACCATGCGGCGGTTGACAAAATTAAGAAGAAAACCCAGAAATTCAAGACGTGGGTTGGGTCAAACGATGAGCAAGACAGGAGGATGTATGCAAGAGCCAGAAACCAAGCAAAGATAGAGTGTAGAAGGGCTGAAAAGGAGTTCCAGAGGCTGGTTGCAAGCTAGGTCAAGTCAAACCCAACAGCGTTTTACCGCTATGCAAAGTCGAAATTGAAAACGCGAGTAGGAGTATCAGACCTGAGGCTTGAAGATGGTAGTTACGCAGATTCTGACCAGGATAAAGCTGAGGCATTGAACAGCTTTTTCCTCAGTGTTCACAAGAGAGGATGCAACTAACCTTCTTGCGTTTGAGGAAACGCGGTTCGACATAGCACTGACCCACATTGTGTTCACAGAAGAGGATATTAGAAATAAACTGTCCAGGCTAAAGGTCCATAAGAGTCCCAGACCTGACATGGTGCATCCTAGAGTGCTAAGAGAATTGTGCAACGAGCTTGGAGAGCCTCTGAAGATCCTGTTTTGTAAATGCCTGGATGAACAAATGGTCCCCAGTGAATGGAAAGTGGCTTATGTGAGTCCTATCTTCAAGAAGGGCGATCGTCACTCCACGAACAAGTATAGACCGGTGAGCCTGACCAGCATAATATGTAAAGTACTTGAGAGTATTATCAGATATGCCGCGATGGAACATCTACTATGAAACAACCTTGTAAAAGATTGCCATCACGATTTTATGCCGGGGCGCTCTTGCTTAACACAATTGGTCAAGGTATTGGATTCTTGGACCCATATTCTGGAATGGGGTGGTAATATCGACAATATTTACCTAGATTTTCCCAAGGCTTTCGACAGTGTTCCCCACGAAAGGCTGAAAATCAAACTGGAAGGGTACGGAATTCGGGGAAATGTCCTAGCGTGGATAGAAGACTTTCTACATGATCGCAAGCAGTGTGTGGTGATTAATGGCACGAAATCATCATCTGTACCTGTAACAAGTGGGGTTCTACAGGGCAGTGTATTGGGCCCGCTGTTGTTTGTTTGTTTCATAAATGACATGCCTGACATTGTACACTCCTCCATACAAATGTTTGCCGATGACGCCAAGTTATTTCGGTAAATTAAGAACCAAGCGGACTGTGAAGAACTGCAGAGGGACCTCTGTGGGCTCCAGGAATGGTCGAAGAAATGGCTGCTGAGATTCAATGTCACGAAGTGTAAGAGGATGCACCTGGGGCGTACCAACTGTAAGGAGGCGTATCATATGTCCCAACGGGATGAAGAAACTGCACTAGTTGAGACTGTGTGTGAAAAGGACCTAGGTGTGTATGTTGACAATATGCTGAAGTTCTCGGGCCACTGTGAGAAGAAGGTAAATCAGGCAAATAAATTATTGGGTCTTATAAGAAGGTTGTTCAGATATCTAGACGGTCCGTCCCTCGTAACGATCTTCAGGAGTGAAGTGCTTCCCCATCTGGAGTACTGTCGCCCCATCTGGTCCCTGAGATATGCTAGGGACTGTCGGTTGGTTGAAAATGTTCAAAGGAGGGCCACCAGACTGGTGCCTGCACTTCAGCACCTCAGCTACCCTGAGAGATTGGAGCGCCTAAACTTGCCTAGCTTATACTACAGACGGGCAAGGGGGGACCTAGTTGAGGTGTATAAGCATCTCAGGGGGCACTACTCAGTTGAGTGTCCTTACTTGGAGCTGGCGGATGCTCGCCCCACAATGGGTCACAGCTCAAGATTGAAGAAGCCGCAAGTTCAGAAATCCGTGAGGGCAAACTTTTTCGGAGTGAGGGTTGTAAACTCTTGGAACAATCTACCAGAGATTGTGACGGCACCGAGTGTGAGCTCTTTCAAGACAAGACTTGACCAACACTGGAGCGGGTTCAGGTACATTCAGGAGCCGGTGCATGCCCAGTATTTGCCAACAGTGCGTGACAGAGACGTGATCGATTGCCCGGGCGGCTAGCGAGCCGATCTTTTGGTGAAGAATATAAATGAAAAGAGACGTGACCGATCGCCCAAGCGGCTAACAAGCCGATGAGTGGCGAAGAGGATAAAAGTAAAAGTAAATTATATCCAACTAAACGTTGCTTAAAGTACATGATTATGGCAGATAAGCAGACATTATAAAGCTCACATTTATTTCCAGGAGTGTGATAGCAAAGCGTCTAGCTCGAGACTCTATGCCTGCAGTGTCCAGTGTGCTAAAACTCCTACACCCACCTGGAACTCTGTCTCCTCCAGTAAGCATTTTTAGTCATAATTTGGATGTTTGTTTTATTTACAAATCTAAGTTTGATTAATTTTGTGTCACATACTTTCACTCATGTTGTACCTTTCTACCACAGTATTATCCTTTGTGTCTCACTTTTTGTATTTAATTGAACCACTTGTGGTGTAGGTTGGTTAAAGCCTGGTTGTGGCTCCTTTGTAATATCTTGGGGGAGAATTTATTGGACTTCATAAACTTAATAAACAAACCACATCTTGAGTACAGGCATCCCCTAGGTTACGGAACGTATGTGTCCTTGAAAATTTGTCCGTAACGTGAAATTTCTTAACGCGAAACCAATTTTTCCATTGACTTTCATTATATGATTGGAGATGCGTTCCCAAGGAAATATTTTGGGCAAAAAGATGTAATACAAGCACATTTATGAATGAAAATAGATTCTTTTTAACACATACATTGATTATTTTATGGTATAATATGATAATAAATATACAAAACACTTGAATTTAACTTGCCACAAACGATGTTGAGTGCTGCGTTTGGTGAGGTGAGGTGGTGCAATCAGAGTTACTGGGAGGGAGACGGAGGGCACTACTGGCTCCTGCCTCGCCCTGTACAGTATTGTAGCAACCACCAAGAAATCCACACAAATTTTTTTGTTATAAATTCTGTGATTTTTTTATATTTGTATTGAAAAATATATTTAACTTAAAAATTTACCCAATTTCTGTAATTGGTTCTATTGTATTGAGCCTGGTTTTGTCCACCACATGATATGGGAATATCCTATTTATTTTTTCAGCCATCTCTCTGCAAATATTATTCTCGTGTTCCTCATCAAATTGCTCATTTTCTTTTTCTGATATTTGAAATACTTTTTTTTCATTCTCTCCTGTATGTGGATTCTATCTCTTTTTCTTCCAAGATTTTTATCCCATTTTGGTCTTTTATGTACTTTTATGTTGGGGTTTGTCGTTTCCTAGAATTTTGTTTACGTTCTGCCAGAAGTTCTTGTCATTTCTTGTGGTATCCAGGTTGTTTATTAGTTCGTTCTATATCTGTTGGTGTGCTGTCAGACTTTCATCTCTTAACTTTGGTTGTATTTGCCTCAAGTTTCTAATAGCTCTGTTGTTGATGGATTGTTTTGTATGTACGTACATCATTATGTTATAGTACTTGGAGCATTCGCAATTCATGAGTTGTCCTGATGTGTGGTAGCGTTCGATATGTTGTGATTGGTATCTTGTTCTCTATTGCCTTTTTGATGTTAAGTATAAGGGTGTCTGTTTCGTTGTCTATATCTTCTAGTATTTTGCCTTGGAGATCTGGGATATTGACTTGTTCTAGTTGCTTCCTGTAACCTTCCCAGTCTGCTTTTTGCATTTGGAAACGTGGGGTTGTTGGAACTTGGATTGGGCTTGTAGATAGTTGTATTATCATTGGAATGTGGTCACTGGTAGTTAGTGGTCGTCCTTGTTTTATATGGTAATTCAGGAAAGCCTTGTTATTGGTGAAGACTTTGTCTGGGTTTGTTGTTTTGTTAATGCCAATGAATGTGGTGAAATGTGGTCCTAGGTGGATCAAATTCCCGGTGTTCATTATGGTATGCAGTGCAGTGCCTACCCTGTTCCTGTTTCTGTGGCCAAATATTGGATGTCTTGGGTTTAAATCTCCTATTATGTATGTTGGGCAGTTGTAGTTCAATAGTTTTATTAAGTCTGGGGCCGGTAGTTAGTTCCTTCTTGGCGGTAAATATGCTGTGGCTATTGCTATTTCTCCAAGTGTGGTCGTGATTTTGATTCCCAGGAATTTGTCCTCGAAATCGTCGATGATTTGATGTTTGAGTCTGTGTTTTACAGCAATCGCCACACCATTATTTAATTCTTCTGTTTTATTTCTTTGGTAGGTTGTATATATATCCAAATATTTTTATTTTCTTCGAATTTGAATTGCCGTGACTATTGATTAAAATTATGTCCGGATCAATGCTGAGGTATTTGTTTGCAAGGTTGTTTTTATTTGTTCCCAGTTGCGGACGTTGTGTTGTATGATGGTAAGTGTTGTGTGTTTGTCGTTATTCATTGTGTTTTGATTTTTTGTTTCTTGTTGGTTGCGCGGGTGGCGATCTCTTGTCCAGAACTAGTCCGTTTCGGATTCTTTGGAATTTCCATTGTTCTTCTTTTTTTAAGTTGTGTACCCTTATTTTAATTCTTTGGTTTATGAGGTAGGCTTCTACTAGTGCTTCAGAGTATTTATCGTTAGAGTAGGTCCATTTTAGTTCTTGTTTCGTTATGGCTTGTATTATGTCTGGCATCGTTTTGCATTCATAGGGACTAATATTTTATCACACCAGTGAATCTGTAGTTTACAGTCGTCTGCATATTCTAATGTCTGAAGCGTTTCCTCGTCCTGGGTATCCATGGTTGCTGTTGTGCCTTTTTTCCTTACAGCACCTGTTTCTCTTTGGATGGTATTTTGAAGGTCCTGTTTTGATCATTTGTGGCTTTGCCTTGTCAGCTTCGTTTATTTTGTGTTCTGTTGCGGCTGGTGTTTGCTTTGCTGCTCCTTTTTCTTCTGCTTTGTCTGTCTCCTGTGGTGTTACTGGGTTGGTTAGGCGGGTCACTTGTAGCACAGATTCAGAGGCTGGGTTGTCTGGGAAACTCATTGTTGGGAGATTGTTTCTTTTAAGCATTTTGTTCATCTCTGTTTCAAACGTGCCTGGGTTTTCTGTGTTCATTTCGGTTGAATATAATAGGCAGATGAGCACTTTGTAGTCTCGCATTTCGCTCAGTACAATTTTGGTGGTATTCTGTGGTTGTGTTGTTTCTTCAACTACTTTCTTTGCAATAGCAACATTTGTTGTGTTCTTCTTCTGTTCTTGTTGTTGTTTTTCCTTTGCTACTTTTTTCATTTATTATTTTCGTTTTGTATGGACAGGCCATTGCTAGGGTTCTGTGGGTCTTATATCCTGGATCGTTCCGATTTTTACAGTTTATACATGCTTTGGCTTGATTCTTGCAGTCCCGGAAAGTATGGCCTTCTTCTTCGCATTCAGAGCATATTTTAAGTTACTTTTGTGGACAGTCTTTTGTTGTATGAGAGTCATGTGCATAGCAGATAAAACAAGTGAAAATATTAACGTATTTTTCCAGGGACTTGCCTGCCATTGAATCAGTGAATTTCAACTTTATGCAATGTATTTATTGCTTTATTTGTATCACTTCTTCGACTTTTAACCAGTTATTTTTTATTTCTCGCTCTTCTTTTATTAATTGTGCCGAGTGCTTTCCGAATTCATAGTCAAGTCCACGTACAAATACTGATCTTTTTGCTTTAACCTCTGGTGGCATGATGACCTGGAGTCCTATGCCTCCAAAAGCTTGCATTCCGTTGGGGCCCAGAATGGTATCTGCGTCCCTGTAGTCTCTGCATATTGCAGTGTATCTTGTGTTCGACGAGAAAATCCTTGTAAAGGGTACATTGAGTGTACCATACGCTATTTCAGTGATCTGAGAACGTGAAGGGACTGTTCTTTTGTCTATGATCTTGTGTCTAACCTTGGTAGCCATGGTTTATTTGTTTGTCTTCCTAGCATGTATTAATTATGGATGATAAAGAAGGTTATTCAAGACCTTTTATAATGTGCCTATCGGTGACCCCCGGACAGTGGTGTAACTGCACTATCACTGTTCTTCTACTGCCGGATTGGCCTGTGTTACCCTGACCTCCAACGGACACACACAATCCCACCTACTGTGAGGTGTGCTCCACTGGAGGGGCTCTAGCACGAATATTTAAATATAAGCAGGTGCCTCCGCCGGGATAAGTAAGGAAGGATTTCAGCAAGAGAGAAATACCTCAAACCATGTCAGTACAGGTTGTACCTCTAGTCCGGCAACCTCGGGACCTGACCGGTGCCGGACCATGGAAATTCACCCTTTTCCTGGATAGATAGTGAATTGTGCTTATGCCTGGAAGCACTAGCACCACTTTCTCTGCATCATGGTCTCTTTGAAGACATATTGAAGGGTTAAATGTCGTATAGTAGCTTCTCAAATTTCGCGAGTTTTTAATTCTTAACGTATTTTATTGAAACACACACAAAAATAGATAAATAAAAATTTTGACGGCGGAAACTTGAATTTCGACGGGTTTGAACGGCACGCCAACGTGCAGACGACGTGCATAATCGTGTAAACAGCGTCATTTCTCTTATGTACAAGAGATTCATTATTGTTTATTACTGAATGTCTTTTTTATCGAATTAATGTTTATGTGTGCAAAATGAGCAATAAAATTCATTAATAACACGTAGAATATTAAAACACGAGGAAATGACACAACATTGTTTTCGTTGATTACAAAACCAGTGACTGACTGGTTCTACATATAAAACTGAAGAAAATAAGACCTTGGTTGTAGCTGTAGTAAAATTAATATGGTTGTTTTAAGTAATGTTATTTAATGTTAATAAATGGAACAATAGAAGTAGCTAACGATAATGGTAAAGGAAAAAGAGATCGCATATGTAATTGCGCATGCGCACATGTGAAAACATATCGTCATTACTTTGCATAAGAATATGAAAGCAACACTTATTTACTGTTCATATATATTTTAATTAATGTTTCTGAATTTGTTTTTATTGAATCAATGTACGTGTGTGCAAAATTAACAATACAATTTATTAATAATACGTGGAATATTAGAGGAGACGAGACTGCTGCCGGCATTGTTTATGTTAAAGCTTATGAAACCAGTGACTGATTGGTTCTACATATAAAACTGAAGAAAATAAGACCCTGAGTTTAGCTGTAGTAAAATTAATGTAAAAAATGAATATGGTTGCTTGAAGTACCTGTAATGTTATTTAATGTTAATAAATGGAACAATATAAGTAGCTAACCATTAATGGTAAAAAAAAAAGTGAGACTGCTCGTATGTAAGTGCGCACATGTGAAAATATATCGTCATTACTCTACATAAGAATATGAAAGCAACACTTATTTACTGCTCATATATATTGAAGGGTTAAATGTTGTACTCTGTATAGACAAGCAGAGAGAGAGAGAGAGAGCAGCCGAACTGCCGGATGTAAACAAACCTTAATTTCCCGCGGCTTTTTTTTTTTTTAAGGGGATTAGCCCACCCGGGCATAGGTCACTGACCCACATTGGGGCCTGAGGGGCAAAAATTTAATAGTCCTAATAATAATAATTCAGATAAGTTAAAAAAAAAAGAGCTGCCTATCTACCTATTGGACAAACTAAAATCGTTCCGGACCACGGGAGTTTCCGGACCACAGAATGCCAGACTAGAGAGGTACAACCTGTACTGCCAACCAATAGCTGCCCTCCAGCATGAGTGTGGGTCACTCACTCTGCCCGTGAAGAGGACTAGCTAGGGTTGACAATCCTGAACGCATGTAAGGTAGTCCGCTGACAGTAGTGGTCATTTTTCAAAGGCGGAGGCCCACAAAGGGAGTTGCCCCAAACAGGATTCCCGGGACGTCCAGTGGTAGTCAGAGAGGTCGAGTTGTGGTCTGGATGTCAACAGTAGAACAAAGGCTGACTGCTCTGGCAGTGAGGGGTCTAAAGAGGGATCCGGTCACTGCAAAGGCTCAGTTCCAGTTCATCCTCTCTGACTTTCATGGCGAGGCATGGAGTATTTATATCATTCTGCCAGATCAAGAATCGAAATGCAAAGATGAGAAATGCTGCTGATTGGCTAAGATGAAGGCGGCAACTGACCAATCACTGCGCAGCTCGAACGTGAGGGCTGATTTGTGAAACTTGCCGCTGGTTGGCTGGTAAGCGGACGGCAAGTGACCAATCAGCAGTTGTAGAGGGGAGTATCCACTACAACTGTAATGACTCCATTGTAAGCTGATTTGCTTAAGCTCTCTCTCCAGGAACAATCTTGAGCTTTCGAATGGTATTACTGCACATGTTGGAATGCATACACAGTACTTTACCTAAATTACAATACTGTACAGTACATTAATTCTTATGGGGAAAAATTCTCATTATAAATCGTTTCACTATAAGTCACATTTCTCTTGAACACATCCCTGACATATAATGAAGACCCACTGTTCATACAAACATACTGTACAGTATTTATATACAGTATATCAGTTAATTGTTATCTCTTAATATATCGGCCTATTATCCTTTATAGTGCAATGTTCTGCAATTTATAATACCGTACTAAAATAATACCAAGCCTAATATTTGCATTAAAATCAATAATTATATGCTCAGTAGTACTTTAATGATGAATGAATAGTAGGAAAGGATTGTTTGAGACCTGAACAGAAAAGTGCTATTTCCTAAATACTATGTATTTTTGGAGAAAAAAAAAAGCTAAAAGGCTGACTGAAATAATTAGATTATGTGATATTTTTCTTCTATATTTTGGTAGCATCATCTTAGTATAAAGTCTTATCATTACTGATATTCATGTTTAATCTCCTTTAGTTGGAAGATTTCAAATCATGAATGTTTTGGCCACTTCATTAACAATTGTCTAAACAGAATTGGAGGCAGATGCAGAAATTCTTGTTCATGACACTTTAAGTACCACAATTGTCTATTGTATGAAACCCTCGTGGTCACAAACTTTTCAGTTGACATAATTTATTGTATTGTAACTAATAGAGATCACATTAGATAATTATGGTACACAGGTGTAGAATTTTGTTTACAGATTATTTTTAATTATGTTAATTTTAGATGAATTATCTTTCTTCTTGAAGATACCTGACCAGCATGAAGAAAGTGCCAGAAGCCTGATTTCAGAAACAATACTGCAGAAAATGGGATTGAAAATACATCTACAACAGGTATGATATTATCACTCTCATTCTAAGTGAAAAAATTTAAATAATAATTTCCTCTATTTACCTAATGGCCAAGCAAAGAGAACTGGCCATGCCAAGGGAATTGGGCCAGTGGCCTGGATAGGATCCCTCCATTGTTCTTGATACTCTTGTCTAGGGCTATTTTAAAGCAGAGTACTGTTCTCGATTCCACAGCTTGGGCTGGTAGACCATTCCATAGGTCTACCACCCTGTGTGAAGAAGTATTTCCTTATGTTTGTTCTGCCTGATAACTCAACTACCTGTAGCTTGAAGGGATCCCTTCATTTTGGTGGTGCATGATGTCACGTAAAAATTGCTTAGGCTTACGTTTTCCTTACCTTTCAAGATTTTAAATCGTTGTATGAGATCTCCCCTATTGTGCCTTATCTGAAGAGATGTTGGTCTATTTGGATAATCAAGATTAATGTACATAGTTCCAGAATCATCTTCATCACTGGCGGTCATATTAATAATTCTTTTCATCTTTATCAGCATGATGTAAATACTGTACTATCATTGCAATGGCATAAAATGCAGCTAGACCCCGACTTACGACGGGGTTAGGGACCCAAATCCAGGTCGTAAGTCCGAATGGTCGTAAGTCCGACATAGATATATGTATAAAAAAAAAAAAAAAAATTAAAAAAATCTACAATGAAATACAGTACAGTAAAAGTAATAAATAATAAGGAATGGATACAGTACAGTGAAAGTAATAAATAATAAGGAATGGATACAGTGTGACTGAGCACTTACCTCTAATGTAGTCAGCTGAATGCACATGGGGCTCCCATAATTTTCTAATTATACATGGAGACTACATTAACTGGAAATGTTTCGGTATAGAAAATGCGTGTGTCATTTGGAGGAAAAAAAAAAAATTAAAAAAAAAAATGGTCACAACTGCGGCGGTCGTAAGTCGAAGCAGTCGTAAGTCGGGGTCTAGCTGTAGTTGTAAGGTAGGTATTCGTAGTCACCTCTACCATCGTTGAATGGGCAGGGCTTAGCAAGCGTGAATCAGGCGTACCAATATGGAAGTCACGAATTTCCTGAACCCAAGAATGGCTCGCCAAGTATTATTTTGTTTCCTATGAGCGATAATTTGTTTCGTAGCTGCTCTACGGTTTGTTACATTCTGCCTTTTCCTTGTAAATTTCCATTTTATTGTTGTTGTGACCTACAGTCATGTTACTTTTTACTTACTTTTATCCTCTTTACCACTGATCGGCTCATTAGCTGCTTGGGCGATTGGTCACGTCTCTGTTACAAATTGTTGGCAAGTACTGGGAGTGCACTGGCTCCTGAATGTATCTGAACCTGCTCCAGTGCTTATCAAGTCTGGTCTTGAAAGAGCTCACACTCCGTGCTGTCACAACACACTCTGGCAGATTTTTCCAAGAGTTCACAAATCCCATTCAGAAAAAGGTACCCCTCACAGTTTTCTGGGCTTGCGGCTTCTTCATCCTTGAGCTGTGACCCCTTGTGGGGCGAGCGTCCGCCACTTCCAGGTAAGGGCACTCGACTGAGTAGTGCCCTTTGAGATGTTTATATGCCTCAATTAGGTCCCCCTTTGCCCATCTGTAGTATAAGCTAGGCAATTTCAGACACACTAATCTCTCAGGGTAGCTGAGGTGCCAAAGTGCAGGCACCAGTCTGGTGACAGTACTCCAGATGGGGAAGTACCTCACACATGAATGACCTTCTTATAATACCTAACAATTAGTTGCCTGATGCACCTTCTTCTCGCATTGGCCCAAAAACTTTATCTCATTGTCAGCATACAAACCTAGGTTCTTTTCACATTCACTCTCAGTTAATGCAGTTTCTTCGTCTCTTTGGGACATATGATATGCCTCCTTACCATTGGTATGTCCCAGGTGCAGCTTCTTACACTTCGTGAAATTGAATCTCAGCAGCCATATCTTCGACCATTCTTGAAGCTCACAGAGATCCTTCTGCAGCTCTTCACAGTCTGCTTGGCTCTTAATTTCCCGAAATAACTTTGGCGTCAACCACAAACATTTATATGGAAATAAGTACAGCAACAGGCATGTCATTTATGAAGCAAACAAACAAACAGCATTCCCAATACACTGCCCTCTACCTGTGGTACCCAACTTGTGACGGGTACACATGATGATTTCATGCCATTAATCACCACACACTGCTGGCAATCATGTAGAAAGTCTCCTATCCACGCTAGAACATTTTCCCGAATCCTATACCCTTCCATTTTAATTTTCAGCCTTTCATGGGGTACGCCATCGAAAGCCTTGGCAAAATCTGGGTTTATATTGTCGATATTGCCACCCTGTTCCAGAATTTGGGTCCAAACATCCAGTATCTTGAATAATTGTGTTAAGCAGGAGCGCCCTGGCATAAAACCGTGCTGGTAATCCTTTACAAAGCTGTTTCGCAGTAGATATTCCATCATGACATTTCTTATAATGCTCTCAAATACCTTACTTACTTTGCTGGTCAGTCTATAATTATTCGTAAAGTAAACGATCTCCCTTCTTGAAGATAGGACTCACAAACCATTTTCCAATCACTGGGGACCTTTTGCTCATCCAGGCATTTACAGAACAGGATCTTAAGGGTTCAGCAAGCTTGTTGCACAACTCTCTTCGCACTGTGGGATGCACCATGTCAGGGCCGGGACTCTTATGAACCTTTAGCTTTGGCAGTTTATTTCTTATAACCTCTTTTGTGAACACAATGTGGGTCAGTGCTGTTTCGAACCTCATACGCAGGAAGATTGTTCACATCTTCTCTTGGGAACACCGAAGAAAAGAAACTGTTCAATGCCTTAGCTTTGTCCTGGTCAGACTCTGCGTAACTACCTTCAAGCCTCAGGTCTGTTGCTCCTACTCGCGTTTTCAATTTAGACTTTGCCTAGCAGTAAAATGCCTTTTGGTTTGACTTGACCTTATTCCAACCAGCTTCTGTAATGCCTTTTCAGCCCTTCTACCTTCTGCTTTTGTTTGGCTCCTGGCTCTTGCATACATACTACTGTCCTGCTCATCGTTTGACCTAACCCACGCCTTGAATTTCTGAGTTTTCTTTTTAACTTTGTCGACCGCCGCATGGTTATGTATAGCGGTCTCCTTATATTTCTAGAGGCACTGGGTTTGGACTTGGGTATATATTTCTTGATCAAATGGTTCACTTTACTAGCTATGATATTCAGCATAGTGTCTGCGTCCTTATGCCTTAGTGAGTCAGGCCAGTGGATACCCCTCATCTCTTCCCTCATCCCGTCAAAATTTCCCTTGTAGTATTTGCACCTTGGCCTGGTTTTGTCGTGAACTAAGTAACAGTTAAATCTGAATGACAACACTACATGGTGACTGGTACCAACTGGGGCTAGATGTTCCAGTTTGGCCACCATACCCTCCTTGTTTGTTATGATGAGGTCCAGTGGCTTTGGTGTTTGGTCCCCTCTGTAATGAGTCGGGTCTTTAACATGTTGGAACAGAAAATTATCTCTCGGAGTTTCTACAAAATGAGTAGCTGGGTGATTTAAGTAAATTGCCGTGAATTTATTTCTCCAGTCGATGTTGCCAAAGTTAAAGTCCCCCATGATAAGGAGGTGGCTAGTGTTGAGCATTGCTGCATTGTCTATTAAGGCTCTCAAGTTCCTTTGGTTTGGTAAGCTACAGTTTGGGGATCTGTAGGTACACCCAACAGTAAGTAAGTTTCTCCCCTTTAACTTAATTTTTCACCAGTTAGGATTCTTCAAAAACATCCTCTCCCTGAACCCTCACCTGGCTGGCTCTAAGGTCTTGCCCAGCATAGATAACCACACCCCTCTTGCAAGTTTCTTGAGAAAGGTTCGTAAATGCATCATATCCAGCAATACTGAACTCACATTCCTCTGGGTCAATTCTCCTGTTCTTGTACAACAGTTCTACAACTCCTACAATATCTGGTTGGTGTACCTTCAGTAGTGTTTCAAACTCCTCTCTCTTATCAAAGAACGTGTCAGTATTAGTGTACATGACATTCAAGCCAGAATTTGTTCTCCGTAATGTCTCTGCTTTTAGTAGTAACCTCCCCCCCCATTCTCAGAAGCTGCAGCATTTGCTAAGTACACTGTATTTTGCAGGGTGTGGTTAAAAATGTCATTGTTTACACGGCGCTCGCCTCCTCCTGTCTGGTAGGCGGAGCTGGTACTACTTCCTGGGTGGTAGGTAGAGCGGGTGGAGGGTGCACTGCTGCCCTCTGGCCCTCTGTCAGCACTCTTGCTTCAACTACCCTCCCCCTGAATATAACCCATGTACAGTACACCCTTCCCCGTTCCTCCTTTACTCCTCCCTCTTCTGCTTCACGTCCTGCAGGAGCTTCTTGTGCTGTATTAATGAGCATTATTTTTGGAACATCTGTCAGCAGTTCCACTAGGTGGTGACCATCCTGGTTCATTTTTGTGGTCGGATTGATCATTGGATGGTGGGTATTGAAGTCCCCAGCAATGAGCACAAGTTCCTGTGTTGCTTGTGTCAGTAGTTCACTGGCTTCTAGTCATTTGGGTGGCGGTTTATAGATGTTATATACTACAAGACTGTCGTTTGCCAGGTGTATCCGAACAGCTTGTACCTCTACTCCATCTCCACAATGAACTGGTTCTACTCCTGAACTGGGGATGGTCGCCCTGACGAGACTCATGCTGCCATGGGAGTTGGGCCCTTTTGGTACTGAGTACTGTTGGTATCCAAGCAAGCAGAATTGTTTGTCGTTTGGCATCAAGGTTTCTTGCAGAATGAAGACATCAATATTTTTAGCTATGGCTGCTGCTTGTACAGTATGCCGTTTGTTAGACAGGCCTTGTACATTCCACTGTGTTATCTTGGGATGACAAGGAGGTAGGGCTATTCTATCATTATCTCCTCGTTGCTGTAGTTGCTCTTGGCGTTCATGGTTGAGTCGTTCTCCTCCTCGTCCGTTGGGAATGGTGTGCTCATTGGTGGCTGTTTCTTGGGCAC